AGCCCAGAGCCTGACGTGGGGCTCGAACTCACGGACCGCGAGATCGTGACCTGGCTGAAGTCGGACGCTTAACCGACTGCGCCACCCAGGCGCCCCTATACTGATTTTAAAGACGAGGGAATTTAGATGCATGCAGTTTAGGAACTTGCCCCGGGGCACCCGCTAAGCCTGGCAGGGCCGGGCTTCTGATCCTTGGTCAGGCACCAAGGCCGTCTCTCCGGCCACATACCCTGCCCTGGACCTGGGTCTCTGTATCTCTGTCTGCTCTCCGGCGCACGTCATCTATTTTCCTACCTGCCTCACCTTCAAGGTTGTCAGAGGCTCTTCCCAGGAGACACGCTCCCTTCATTGCATTTGTTTGGGAGCCCTGCACTCCGCAAGCTACCCAGTAGACGTGATCTGTACCAAATGTCGTACGTAATAAATACAGGTAGTCTGTTTATGAGCTGCCATATTTATTATGCCCCTTAATTGCTAAAAAGCCAGAGCCAGCCGAAGCCAGATCCCGCCCTGGAGAGCAGCGTTGCCTGGGTGGGCCAGGGAGGGGCTGCTGGAACCTGGCCTCCTGCAGACTTTCAGCATTTTAGTGGGATCGCTCCTTCTGCCCTCCAAAGGCCCATCCAGTTCAAGCCTGACGGAGGGAACTGATGAGTCATCAACCTCCTGTTCCATCGTTTCGCAGAGGAAGATGCTGAGGCCAGAGAAAGGAAGTGACTTGCAGAACAGGAGATTGGGACTCTGGACTCCTAGTCCAGGGCTCCTTCTGCCCCTCTCCCTATCTGAAAGCTGCCCCTGGACCAGGCGGAACACAGGATCTGGAGTGGGCTGAGTGGCGTGCGTATAAGCTCTGGGATGTCGGGCAGGTCACTTCACTTCCCTGAGCCCCGGTGCCCTCGTCTTTGCGCTCCCCGCATCACGGGGCTGTTGAGTCAGGGCAGCCACCGCGTGGACGTGGCATGTGGCTGGCAAGGAGTCAGTGCTGAACAAATACTATTTTCTGTCCCCTTGCCCCTTTTCAAAGAGCACAGGGTCTCAGCACATGTGCAGGGTTGAGTCAGCCTAGTGCCGAAGGGAGAGGGGGTTGGACCGCAGTGCCTAGGGTTCAGGTCATTGTCCCGGGGATCCTGGGGTCAGGAGTAACAGCGGCCCGGTGGTCACGTCCAGCTGCAGAGCTGGGGTGGTCATGGTGAGAGCAGTCCACTCTGCCCCGGGCCAGGTGCAGTGGGGAGCCCTTTCACGGGACTTCTCACTTAACTCTCACAACATGCCACGATGCAGGTCCTACATGCCCATTTTTGCAGATGAGGAAACTGAGGCTCCCGGAGGGTAGGTCACTTACCAGAGACACAGAGGTAGAAAGATGAAGAGCCAGGACTGGAGCCCAGGTGTGTTTGACTCCAGAGGCCACTATGTTTAGATGCGGGTTAGATGCTGCTTCTAGACGGCTGGAGATGGAGGAGGGGCGTGGCTGGTGAGTTGGCCTGGAGATGGCATCCTGGAGAACTGCTCTGGAGGCAGGGATGATGGAAGTGACAAAAACGACCCACAGTCAAGGATGATGATCAAGACCTTCGGCAGCTGGCAGGCACTGGCATGGACCGGTCAGAAGGCAGGCTGGCTAAGCAGCCTTCTGGGCTTTCTGGCCTCAAGAAGATCTAGAGAGAAAGGCGAGCAAATGGGGCATCAAAAGAAGTCACATGGGGACTGTCCTCACTCTGGAGAGGGCACAGCAGAGAGAGGAAAGGAGGTGCAGGAGTTGGGAGCCCGCTGCTGTGTGAGTCCTCACGCCCCCTCTTTCTAAATATCGGGGGTAGAGAGGACACAGCGACCCCACGCACGCAAAGCCCTTAGCCCAGCACCAAGCTTCCTGCACGTGCTGTTTAATCAACGTTTGCTCTGTGGCGGGTTTTCATGCAGTCCAAACCATGTACCAATCCCTGCTGTGTCCCAGGAGGAGGGCACGGCTGCTGTCCCATGCCTCTGGGAGCTCACAGGAACATTGGCTGATGACATGATGGCACACAGCATGGTGGGGGCAGGGGTGGAGGTCAGCAGAGACCATGGGAGCTCCTGCGAAAGCAGGGACAGGATGGGGAGAATCAGGGAAGGCTTCCTAAAGGAGGTGATGCCTTGAGAGATGAACAGGGATTAAGCGGGAAGGGACAAGGTGGAAAAGCGGTTCCAACAGAAGAGATCGGCGTGAGTGGAGGCACTAAGTGAGCTTTGGGGACGCTCCTTTGATTGTTGGCGACGGGGCAGTCAAGGGAGAACCAAAAGTGGCCTTGGGAGCCTTGGAGGACCTTGCAGTCCGTAGTTAGGGGGTGGCTGGTCTCCTGGAGAGGCCAGGTCCTTCGCAGGGGCGTGGTGTGGCTAGATGTGCCTTGTGGAAAGGTCCCTCTGGAGGCAACTGGCTGGAAGGGGAGTGGCTGGAGGTAGGGAGCCGGGGCCAAGACTGACAGCATCTGACTGAGAGAGGATGAGGCCAGGAGTAGGACTGACGCTGGAGGCACTTGAAAGATGCACAGAATAGAGTGGATGGTGTCACCGGATTCCAGCTTGGGAGGCAGATGACACTGCATAAACTCAGGCCACAGCTCAGTGAAGTAAAGAAGAATCATCCCCCCTCCCACGCACATGCACACACACACTCCATCCAAATTGGACTGCCGGGGTTCAAATCTTGGCTTCACCACTCACTAGCTGCAATCTCAGGCAAGTCACCTAGCCTCTCTATGCTCTCAGTTTCCCTCTCTCAGTTTCCCATCATTAGGGTGATGATCGTACTTGTTTCGTACGTTGTTGTGAGTTCATACACGTCCAGTGCTTAGGGTGGAGCTTTGCACATACTAAATGCTCAGTAATGTCATTATTCGCAGCGGTAGAGACTGGCCAGGTGACCCCAGGAACCCTGTGTTTCCCTTTTCCTCTCACCCAATCTAAGAAAAGCCCTTGGAGCGCCTTTGGAAGGACAAAGGCTTTGAGCCTGGAGGTTCACTCCCTGATTTTTCTCTTGGAGTGGCCATGGGCTTATCGTTGTGTGACCTGATGTGTTGGTTTCTGCCGCCCAGTAAAGTAAGAAGGCACGTCTGGTTCTGATGCTCAGTGCCCTGCCTGTGTGTCCCCTGCTCAGTTCTGTCTTTTATCTGGCACAATAGGCCGAGCAGTTCAGCCAGCAGGAGGTGGGCCATTTCAGCCGGGAAGCCGTAGGGCTCCAGGGCTCATGCCCGCCCAATCCAGCACCTTCCTCACGGGCTCCCAGGTGCCTGAGTGGTGCCATGGCCACTGCTCAGCCGAGATCAAACACTTGGCACGTCAGCAGAAACCACGAGAAGAGAGGCGAGGCGCCACCCTTTCCTGTATGCCCTTCCCCAGCAGAGGGTTCCCCCTGTGCTTTGGTCTCCATGGATTCAAATGCACTTTAAAAACCCTCTGGCCTAAAGCAAAATGCAGCTTGGGGCATGGTCTTGTGGTCACCAAGAGGAATGGGCCGCATGGCCCTGGCCACTTTGTTCCTTGGACTGTGAGGGTGTTGGCCTTCCTTGCTGGGGAGGGCGTTGGATTGTGGTCTGGGGCAGCGAGGGGGCAGGTTTGCTGGGCGCCCACCGTGCGCCAGGCACCATGCACGGGCTCTGGCGTTAGATCTTAGCATTGCCTCCTACAAGCTGCGTGGCCTTGGGCAAATCCCTTAATCTCTCTGATAATTACATACATACACCTTGCCAGGTAATGTGAAAGTTTGCCCTAACCAATGCGCACACCTCATTGGTTGTTACAAGAATTAAATGAGATAATATATGTGAAACGCTTGGCCATATTAGCACACAGCGGGCGCTCCCCAATGGTGATTACTATTATTAATATGATTCATCATAGACCTCGCAGTAACCACTTAAGACAGGAATTGTCAACCTTACTTTGTGGGTGAGGAAAAGTGACCCTGGCTCTCTCCGCAGGGAAGATGGGAAACCGTTGAAAGTAACGAAGCACCATCTTCCCCGTATTCGTCCACGTCCAACACATACTCCCAGGATCCTTTGCACCAAGTCATGTTGTACAAGCACAGACCGCCTGCCGGGGTCACCTGAACAGGGACTCTGGACTGGCTCAGCTCCAGCCCTGCCCCTTACCAGCTGGGGGACGTTGGACCTGCTATTTCCATTGCGAGCCTAGTTTCCTCACCTGTCACTTGGACCTCTAATCCCTGCCCCGGGGGAATCAGAGTCTCTCCCTGGGGCTGTCGTGAAGAAAGTGTGGCAATATTGAATACAGGTCTGACCCATGACAGCAGATGCTTCTCCCCTCGGGGATGTGGAAGGGCTACATCTTGTGGCTTTCAAGCCCCAGTGCCTGGCACACAGTCGATGCACAATTAATGCTGGCTGAACAGAATTGTACTCAGAGACTCGCTGCCAGGGCCATACCTTTAGGTAGGGCTAGGGAAGGCTCCTTAGGTAGGTGGGATGCTGTAGGTGTCGGGTTGGAAATAGTCAGGGTGTGGGGAGGGTTTGGCCCCAGGAACAGGGCTTGGGCCCCCAGGTATGTGCCCACATCCCTTTGCCCCTGTGATACCCCTCCTCACTGGCACCATGAAACAGCCCTGGGCAGTCCTTCGGGCTGGAGGGTGTATGGGGTGGTAGGAGGTTTATGCGGCCTGGATTTGTATCCTGCTCACAATACTGCTGGGAGGAAGCTTCTGGTTTTAATCTCCGTTGTCAGGTTGGAAAGAACAAGACTCAGAAAGGTAGAGTGATTTGCCCAAGACCACAGAGCAAATAAATGGTGGCATCAGGCTTAAGCCCAGGCGGGCTGGCTTCTCCAAGGTCTCACTCCTAACTCTGGCCCCAGCAGCCTCTGAGAGAGGAAGTCGTTACCAGTCTCCCTCTTCCTCCACCTGCTGCAAGGGCAGGGCTGACCACTGGAAACCCCCATGGGGAAGGGACAGGGGTGGGTTCCCCCAGTGGGAAAACTGAGGGGCCTTGCTGTTTTGTAGGTAGAACACCATGGAAGGCGACTGTCTGAGCTGCATGAAGTATCTGATGTTTGTTTTCAATTTCTTCATATTTGTAAGTATTGCTAGAACATGCCTGGGATCTCCCTGGGCCTCTGCTGGATGGAAGGAACAGACGACTGATTTGAAGTAGTCACACGGGACTGAGTCCTGGGGGCAGGCACAGGGGCCAGTGCTGGAAGCAAATCTACCTGCCCAGCCAGAACTTCCTGGCTGAGAAGCCCCCAGTAGTGCCCACCCCACTGCAAAGAGCCCACCGGCCCAGGAGGGATGTTGTGCCCATGACCCCCGGGATGGTTCAGGTCTCTGACAAAGGCTTGGGGCCTCAGCCCTGACTCCCGCCCTGGGATCCGACCCCTGTGGAGAGTCAGGGAGAAGGAGGAGATGGGGGTGATCAGAGGGCAGGCCAGAGAGCCCCCGCTCCACCCTGACCCCCAAAGGCTCAGTGGCGGACATCCGGGCTGGATGCGCTGGGCTGATGTAACCACCTGATGTAATTTGAAACCTCTCTGGGCCTGGGGTTCCAAGCTGGCTCCGCATCTTACCAGCTGTGGGGTCAGAAGCACACTTCACCTCTCTGAACTTCAGTATCTTAATTCCCTGCCCCAACAGGCGTTTGGTGAAAATTAAGCACGATTAGTTTAGAAAGTGCCTGGAATGTGCCAGCGCTCCATAGCTTAGCTCCGTCCTTAGCATCCAGCCTATGGATTCTCTACTTTAAGGCACAGAGAGGCCCGGAGTGCTCAGGTGGCCAACCCAGCACCTTGTAGCCCCGCCCACCTGCTGGCAGCCCCCCAGGGCTGCGCTCAGGCCTCTGGCTTCTCCCAGGAGCAGAGCCACACCCTGGGACCAGAGGTTCCCCAGAGCCACGTGTGAGCTTGGAAGGTGGGCCCGGAATTCAAGTCTGTAGGCTTGTTTCCTGCTCCTCAGGATTATGGGCAAGGGAGGGAACCCAGGAGAGTTGCTGACATGGCTACAAAATGGAGAGAGAGGAGAGAAAGAGTCAGACTTGACCGGAAAGGAAGCTCTCTTTCACAGTGACCCTGCCCTGGACGGCACCAGTGGACTTTCACTCATCCGGGTCTTGGCAGGGTTAGGACAACCTGCGGGGGCTCAGGGTGTGGCTCTGCTCTTGGGAGAAGCCAGAGGCCTGAGCAGAGCCCTGGGGGGCTGCCAGCAGGTGGGCGGGGCTACAAGGTGCCCTCTTGGAATCAGAGGGTTGGACTAGAGGACCTCGTTATCCAGCAGTTCTGACATTCAAGGGCAATGTAAAAAGTGGCAAATAAATTCTATGTGACATGGTCCTCAGCAGCCTGTGTCGGGGCGTGGGTCAGAGATTGGGTTTAGAGGATGTACTAACGGTCTGGTCATCCAGGAAAACGCAAACGAGAGAAAGGCATTGCTGGGACACTGGTTCGCGCAGCAAATGGGGCTCCCGCCTGGTTCTCTGGGGCTCACTGGGGCTCACCGGCTCCACCCTGGGGCCTGGCTCAGAGGGATGGTGTATGTTTGGAGTGTCTAACCTCCGTGTCTGCCTGTTTCTTCTCTTCCCTCCTGACTGGCCCTGAGGGCAGCTGGGTGGGGCCTGCCTGCTGGGCATCGGCATCTGGGTCATGGTGGACCCCACCGGCTTCCGGGAGATCGTGGCCGCCAACCCCCTGCTAATCACGGGCGCCTACATCCTCCTGGCCATGGGGGGCCTGCTTTTTCTGCTCGGCTTCCTGGGCTGCTGCGGGGCCGTCCGTGAGAACAAGTGTCTGCTGCTGTTTGTGAGTAGCCCCATCCCCCACCCCACCCGCGGGTGCCCTGGGGCAGAGCGTGGGGGGCCCTGTGTCTACACTGCAGAGGACTCGGAGGTCACACCCAGGTCCGAGCCTAGGAGGCTGTCCTCCAGGAGTGGGAAGGCCACCAACCTGTTCTGTTCGCACTGGTGGCCCCAGCTTTCGGAGCCTGGTCCTTGCGACGGGCCCATGCCTGCCGTGTGGGCCGGCTGTCCTCAGATGGAGCGTGGCCTTGGCCTCCAGGTCTGAACAGCCAGGTTTCTCCAAGGCATAGTCAACTGAGAACATTAACCATGATGCTTCCGAGAACTCACATATATAACTCCTTGGTGAAAGAGGAGAGATACCTACTGGATGAGTCTCTTGCCGTTTGCATTTCCGCTTTTAAAACAGAGGTGATATGATCTCTGAAGTCTCTTTATTCGTTAAATAAATGGTCCCTGAACGGCTATTGCAGGCCACACAGGGGCAGGCAGGCAGGCAGGCATGTGGCCGGCCGTGCGGCGGGCCTGGGTTTGAGCGCACACCCTGCTCAGACCCCTCACTAATGATGTGACTCGGGCCTAGTTTCTAAGCCTCTCTGAGCTTTAATGCCTTCGCTTGCTCATCAGGGGGCGGCTTAGCTATAGGTTGGAGCCAAATGAGGCGAGCAGTGGACGTTCTGTTTCTCTGACCTTCCGTGTTCCCGTGGGCGGGGGGTCCTTTGGGCCTGCACCTACTTTCCTGGCCTTCCTCCCCGGTGAAGTCCAGTGGGCGCCCAGGCCTGGAGAGCTTCTAGTTTGAGCCCAGTCCTTCTCCATGAGGCTTGTGTGTGGATGGGTCAGCGTGCAGGTGCCCCTCGTGGGTGAGTGGATGGAGGGGTCAGGAGTCCGGCGACGGGGAGGCGCGGCTGGTCGGCAGAAGGGCTTCCTTGCAAGGTTATCTGCTCCTGCCGCTTTGGCGAGCAGAGATTTGCCACAATGCCTCCTCTCCAGACCAGAACAGATGGGGTGGCCTCTATTCATGTCACGGTGACATTCCCCATATCCCAGACAGGAAGTGAAATCAGCAGTGAAATGTGTGATTTGGGAGCCCTGGGTCCCTTTGGCCTACAGCAGCCTGAACACCGCAAACTTTTCGTTTGGAGAGAAACAAAGAAACCTGCGGGCGCCCCCTGGCGGGCCACCTTCTCCAGTGCCAGCCGGGGCCAATGTTGGCTTGGTTAGCCCAAGGGGACTTTAAAAGGAGCTGGGATATGGGTGCCTGGTGAGGCCCACCTCCCTTTCCCCCCTCACCTCAGCCCCTGGGGCTCATCCTTGACCTCAAGACAGGGGACCAGGCCAGGGTGCTGGACTGGAGCAGGCTGGGGCCCTCAAAAGTCCTCCCATGAAGTGGCAGCCTCTGAGCCTGCCAGTGAATGGATACATCAGTCCCCGGCGCTTAAGGGGGAAGACCAAGCCCAGAGACCAACTGAGGTGCACTCCAAGTCCCCCAAGGAAGAGCTGAGTCCTAGCTGTGGCCAGAGCCTGGTCTTTGGAACCTTAAATTAGCCCCTTCCACCCCTCTCCTCTGCCACCTTCTCCTTCCTTCCTTTTCTGTCTACATTCCTCTCTTTCTTTTCTTGATCTTTCTCTGCCTCCGTCTCTCTGCTTCTTAATCTCTTGCTTTCTATTCCTGCTGCCTTTCCTTATCCCTCTCCTAGTCTCTGCCCCTCTCTCCTTACTTCCCCTGTGTCCCCTTCCCTTCCCTCCTATCTTCCAATCCTCCCCTCCCCTCCCTTCTTCCCCACTCCCCCTCCCTTCCCATCCCCCCTCCTCCTCCTCTCTCTGAAGCCCAGCACCTATTAGCTTGAGGCCACAGTGCAAGTCAGAAGCAGGATACTCTTCCCCCTACCCCCAAAGAGACAGAGTGCTAGCGGGGGAGAGGCAAAAGACGAAGGAGACACAGAATCCAAAACGGGCTCCAGGCTCCGCGCTGTCAGCACAGGGCCCGACACAGGGCTCGAACCCATGAAGCATGAGATCACAACCTGAGCCGAAATCGGACGCTTAACCGACTGAGCCACCCAGG